AATATTATTACACTCATTATTTTGTTGAATTATATCTTCCTTCATGTCAAATAAGGTACATACTTGTGTGCACCTAGTCACCATTGCACGATGTGCGTAAGTAGCGGGTGAAATATTGCCGAAGGTAAAACAGCTCGGCGAGAAAAAACAAGGCGACTATAGCGCACAAGTGCCCACAGCAAACACGCCTACTCGCTTCAGTCGTACGGTGCACACTGAATCACTGAAAAAAACTTATTTAAGAAATAGCTTGGAAGCGATTACTTCATTCCCACATCGAAATATATTGCTACCGTGTAGAATAGATACCCCGAACCAAAAGTTTGCTCCATTTTGGTAAGAAATAGAACTAAAGATTGCTGCGCTAAAGTAAAGAAACGTCGTCTAACCAAACCATTAAAACACGCAGAGATAATTTCTATAAGGGATTAGTTTTGTCGCGACCAAAACGTCATAAGCGCCAATAATTTCATGGTGCTTACGCGTATCATTCAACTTAGTGTACAACAAGTCGTTCTCATAGATTTTACATTTTGCCCGATTTTCGTGAGCATTGTAGCAACGCGAAAAACTTTAAATCAAAGAACTTTAAACGTTTTAATGTCTACTTACCAATGAAATATGAAACTATAATTTATTTGATGTTTATGAGTGTTTACTGCAGTCTTTCAGAACATAACCAGGCATTTTGAAGTTGATATTTATGCGAAGCGAACACGACTCATCTGTGCGAGCGTTGGACACTCACTAAACAGTTGCAGTACAGTGTACCACAAAGCATAGCGCAAAATCATGCAAGGCGTTGTCTTCTCTATTATGTAGAGTAATACCTCAATGCATTCCCATGGGTAATTTTCAACCATCTAATCTTTTTTTATTTTATAATAATCCTTTTTATAAAGAAAATTTAACAATAAATTTAAATTTTGTAATTCAGTGACCTTGTATATTTTCAGGGGATTTTGTTGTATAAGCACATACATCGCCCCATGAATGAATTAGTGACTTTGTGGAGTCGAGTAACTGGTATAACTGGCTTGTGTTTGTTAATGGTATTTACAGAGTGTAGATATATTACTTTTTCATTATTTTTTTATTTTTCTTTTTAATATACTCGGAGGTTATAAAAAAACTGATGAGTAAGAGATAAAAAATTAAGCTTGAAAAAAAAGTAATAAAACCTTACTTAAAGCTTAAAAATAATCATATAAGAATACATAATATAGGTTTCTGGATACACTATTGTACCGACTTAAGAAGTCCTTATGAGGAAATATTATTCTTTTTGGTTTTTAAATCAGTTTTTAGGTAAGGGATTTTGCCACTTTTTGAAGAAACAATTTTCTTATATTTTGATTATTTATAAAAAACAACATAGTGGGTAAATTGTTATGAAGGTGTTTTAATCAGGTTATATATCTCTTAAACTTTTACAACATATTCCTAAAATTATGTAAGTTGTACGTAAAAAAATACTACGAATTAAATTCGTCCAGACTCCCAAATTTAATGAAAAACGTGATGGCTTTTTGGCACTTACACTATAAGACTTATATTTTTTTTTGTAATGAACATTTAATTAATTTGTGACTATCTGAAATGTCTCGATTTTAGGCTATTATATCGTGCTTTTAGTATCTTTAAAAACGCATTTTTTTATACATTTATTACTATTTAAACTTATGTTCCATATTTTTTCTTCTGTATTACTACTTTGTATGTTACCAAAATTTTCCCATTGCATTGAAAACAGCTTGATAGTGTATTTTAATTGCATTGCAACACCAAGTATTCAGGCAGTACAATACAGAAAAGAAAACACGCCATTCTTTTGTCTCTGGAGTCTGTAAAAGGTTAATTTAACTGGTTACGCATTCGTCAGCGCCATAGTCTATGTGCACTCACTACTGTTTACTCTATCTTGATGTCTCCTCCATCCTCCATCTTATTTAACTCCTCATTTTCAATATCTTAGCTCCAACCATGGTAGAGTTCTCCGTTCTAGTAATAGCCTTATGCTTCAGTGCCCCCCTTTAGTACTAACTTTGTACAATCATCGTTCTTTGTTCAATCTGTTCTTCTTTGGAACGCTCTTCTTTCCGAAATCAGGAGTGCCGAAAACCGGATTTCGTTCAAGTGCAAAGTGCGAGAACTGCTCGTCAATAAAATGGCAGAATCAACTTAGCGTTCGTAGTTAGCCGTGTTTAATATTATATTTAATATATATACTATTCTAACTGGTAGATAATGCCTCAGGCATTAAGTCCGCCTATATACATCTAATGTGTATATGAAGTTAAATCAATAAATAAATAAAAGGTGCACGCGTGTTTTTCGGCAGTGAATTTTAATTGTGAATTTTGGCAATTTCAATAGGAAATATCCGATTTTATTGTACACATCTTAGTGTTATGCACGATTAACTAATAAGTGCGTGATAATGTGTAGTATATGTTTAAAACGATGTCGATTTATGTTCATTTATAACCTTGAAAAATCGCGCTTTAACGTTACTTTTATGTAGCTTTGATATCACTGGTAAAGTTGATAGTATGTTTCGTATCGTTATACTGTTGTAAGGGCTTGTGCATATTGTAATTTATTAAATATACTTTTTTGTTGACATAGACTTTATATAAAATTCAGCCTTTTTCTAAAAGTTTTAACTGTATAGAGTAACGAAAAATCCGCTCTGTAATTTCATATTTGATGTGCAGAGGGATTTTTTTTAATTTGGTTTCCAAGCAGGTACAAATTCCATAATGACACTGTTTTATTTACTGATATAGATTGTTTTACTAAATTCAAAAACGCACAACACAACGGTAGTTTACTTACCATAACTAATTTGTTAATTTCAGTGTCATTTAAAGAGTTTAGAGAAAAATAAAACCAAATCTAACTGTTTACACGTATTTTTAAGTCTGTTTTTATTTTTAATGTTTATATTTAAGTTACGCGTACTTGTCCGCATTCTTTATCCGCGCGAACGGTCTTCTCTTAAAAAAGAGATACACATACCTACGAAAAAATGTGTTGCGAGGTGGGTAATGTGACCTTTAGCTAATGTAATAAATATGCCTTTATGAATGAACTAGAGCCCTTAAACCATACTGTCCCTAAACTTTTCTGATTAGCAATAAAACATAATAAACATTGCCACAGATGCCGCCAATGACTGCAGCTGAATAGCAGTAAAAATAGCGCGGTAGGTTGAAAAACGAAAAACCTCCAAAAGTATGAAGAAATACAAAAGGAGGTCAAAGAAAGATCTGCACGTTACTATGAGAAAAAAATGAGTATCACTAGATATGTACCTACTATTTTATTTAGGAAGATAACGCGTGTGTTAAAAAAGTTATATATAAGTATTATATAAAAAAGAGTATATTGTTATAATTTTTGTGATTTCACGAAACACTATTGATCTCATTGCGTAGCTTGTTTTAGAGGTTTAAAACATAATGAATGTTATTTAGTTCTTTTTTTGTTTTTGTTAGAAGAGTTTTTGAGAAACTCTATCTATAACATAAAATATATTTGTTACTTTAATATATTGTAGTATTTTTTTTCTTATTTTTCGTAAACTTGGCCAGATTTCATGGTTGTGTAATAATTCTAAACTGTTGCTAGTTTTAAGCATTTTTCAATCCCATCCTTGTGCATTTAACTTAATTTTTTCTATCACTGAACAGTTGGCAAACTGTTCATTTACTTTAGCTTATGCGTCGAAACCTTTCCACGGCAACCATTTACCATCTGGTGAATTGTGTGCTCGTTTGTCATCCATATCCTATAAAAAAAACCTCATCCTTTTTGAAATCGGCTATAAATAGCGCGATATGCAATCGGCCTTACAAACATTATGCTTCTTTCGCGTCACTTCTATGTTACCCTAACATGGAAGAGTCTATTTTACTCTAAGTTTGTAACTTGTAAGTGGCAAAATCTACGCTCTTACCCTTTTACCCTTCATTAAAATTTAATTTTTGTTATGGTTTTATTTATACGTAATGTTAAAATAGGAATTTCTCTAGAGTTTGGTTTGGTTTCCTTGGATCGCCTCGGGACGCGGATTCGAACACCGCAACAAGCGATTATTATTTTTTCGTTTGCGCTACACCAAACGTTTTTATTTTAACTCTATAGTTTCTTTATAAAACATTTATAATTTATGGTTTTTATCACACATTTAAAAAATACATACATAGTATTAAGATCTTGTCCAACGAGGACGCATAAGGCTACACACTTTATTATGTACACGGGTACTATATGTGGGCTCTCTTGCACATACTAAACAAAACGATCAATAACTACCTACGTTAAAGAAAAATATTTTATAGATGATTTGAAATGTAATACCAATTTTTACCAAGACATAAATCCTAAAAGTTACAGTCTATATACGTCCCACCCCTGGCCATAGGCCTCCGCTCATTCTTGCAAAGGTTTTAGGGCAAGTAAGTGTCCGCCGCGCTGCCCCAATATCGTGTTGACGAACTTCACATGACTTCGAAATATTTTTTTCTTTTTTCTCAGGCATGCAGGTTTCCTGACGGTGTTTTATTTCACTGCCGAGCACGTGGTAAATCAGCACTTAAAATTGCAATTAACAATTTCATTGGTGTCGGTGGGGATCGAACCCGGTTTGCTCGCGTACTGTGAAATTTACAGCGAGCGCTAACCATCTAAGCTACCACGGCTCATTAAATAATAAATTCTACTTTCAATAAATACCGTAGCTAGATGCTACCATCTGAGATTCTGTATAAAATAAAATTCATATTCTAGTATACCACTTTTAGGTTGGTTTCAAAGGACAGTGATAGCACTGAGAAGATCACAGCTGTATAATCTAAAAGCTTTGAAATGAAATAGTTGTAAATTGAATAACAAAATAAATAAAGCAGTGACAATATTTTTGGATGCTGAAGTACATCTTAAAAGTAACTTACTAATTGATCTAATATGTAATTAATGGACTCTGAGAAACTTACAGTGCTAAAAGTATTTAAGTTCATTGTACGGAATCCTTTAGCTGTCAATTGAAATGGTTTTTGAGCTCGCATCATAAATATTAGCATGATCTTTTTAGCTTCTGGACTTGCATAGGACCAATCAGCGGAGTAAATTGATTCTGTCAATTTTTCACTCTGTAATAATGAACATATCTGAATAATGTAATTTCAAAAATAATCTAAATTAATCACTCAAGTATTTAGTTGTAGTTTTATTTAAAAAAAACTATCTTGAAATTTACATAATATTATGACATCTAGAGCATCTAATATTTATTTAGCTCTGAAAATATCAAAATGCTTTAAAAAAATAAGTCATCTCGTAATAACTATTGTTCAAATTACTATCGAAAGAAATTAAGATGAGTAGAAAAGGTAATCAGGCTTTCAAAAGTCTTAATAATCAGTTTTTTATTTATTCAGAAATATATAAGAACCATTAAGTTTTCATGGAATAATTATCATAACAAAATAAACAAAACTTCTTGGAGGCATCGACATCCTATACAATTTTTGTTGTTGATGACTGACAATCTGAATACAAACATAGTTATGTCAATAATTTTGACTAATTTCTGATGCTCTAGTTTATCATAAAAACTCACGGATCAACGTGAAAATTAATTGAGATTAATGCATTCTCTGTCTACGAGAGAAGAGTTTGACAACTGTCGTATATTTTAACCAAATATTTTAATTAGAATATATTTATATTTTATTCCTGAAATTCCTAAAAATAACGTTTTATGTAAATAATATATTTCAATATTAATGAATATGTGACAATATATTTTCAAGTTCGTTTCCCTGAAGTGATGACACGAAATGACGATGGCCGAATACACCAAGATTATATTTTATTTTGCAACATTAATGCCAGGGAGACCTTTAAAGAAATATTAAAAGAGAAAATAGAACAACGTCAAAATAACGAAATCAATGCTCACTACACTTCTACTGATCCCAAGAAAACCACGAATGCCGCGTTTTTATTGAGATGTTTGAGCGTTTTATTGAGATTGTCACCAAAAGAAGCTTTGAAACCATCAACTGTAAGCGGTTATAGTTGTAGGTCACTTCAAGATGCAACGCCTGGTGATTCATCGTACACAATATTAATATTAGATTGCTTTAAGGCGATAAACAAAGCTCGAGAACTAGGTTTTTCTTTTAATTTTCAAGATTTTGATTTTTACTAAATTATAAACTTTTGAGTGCTGTAGATATATTTTTACATCTTTATTTTTTTTACATTTTCTATAAATATTATCGCTCCAATACATTCACAGCCGGATTTCCTACGATGTCAAAATTGTACCGACGGTAGGCTGTTTAAAGGTAAAAAGGGATTAAATATACACATTAAACGATGCCATAGTAAAAATATTTCGGCTTCACAGCCTACCGTAGAAATTCATGACTCTTCTGATAATATACCTAATGACACAAATTCTTCACTTTTTTCGAAACAATTATACAATTTGTACCAGTGGTACGTACCAGTGGTTAAAAGAATTCCAAGAGGTGCGAGGATGCAACTTGCTAAAGCTTTATCATTAACCATTCAAAATTGTCTAACGAATTGTGAAAAAAGTTGGCAAAAATTATTTACATTCGCGTATTCCCACTTTCATTTTAGTAAAACAATAAATAAATCAATTACGTCTCAACTAAAAGAAAATTCTTTTCAAAATTTGAATTACCCGATTAATACTCATTTTCCTCGACCTTATCCTAAATTTGATTTAAAAAAAAGTAGTTGAATCAAAAGTAATGGACGGCGACTTAAAAAATGCATCCCGTATTTTATTCTCAGATGACATCCTCGCTCCTCGTAATGTCGAAATTCTTGAAGGCCTTCGTCAGAAACATCCTTCGGTCAATCCTTCCCAGAATTTACCGCTGCCTCCTAATACTTCTATGCAACCATTACAAGTTTCCGAAAAAGACACTTTAGACGCAATATTGTCATTTTCGAATGGCTCTGCCGGCGGCATTGACGGGATTACGCCTCAGCATCTCAAAGACCTTGTAAGCGTATCTGCCGGTGACGCCGGTAGGGTACTTCTTAATGACATAACAAAATTATGTAATTTTATGCTTTCTGGTAACGTCAATCCCAATTTCATTCCCTACTTATATGGGGCAAGATTGTGTGCCTTCAAAAAAAAGGATAACGGTATCCGTCCTATTGCTGTTGGTTCTACATTTCGACGCTTAACTTCAAAATTAGCTTGCAGGCACATAATCTCAAACCTTAAGACAAAATTTCAACCTACTCAACTAGGCTTTGGCACCAAAGGTGGCTGTGAGGCGGCGGTACATTCGGTGCGTACTTTCTTAACTAATTCCGATGCAGATGTTCTTCTGAAGGTTGATCTTAGAAATGCTTTCAACTCTATTGATAGGATAACCCTGCTGAAAGAAGTGGCTAACAATACCCCCCGAAATATATCATTACGTTTGGCAATGTTACAGTCAAAATTCAAACTTGTTTTATCAAAACCATATTATTGAGTCTGCTGTCGGTGTTCAGCAGGGTGATCTATTAGGTCCAGCTCTTTTCAGTTTGGGAATTCAACCTATTATTTCAAATTTAAAATCCAAGCTGAATGTCTGGTATCTGGACGACGGTACACTGGGAGGTAAAGCAGATGACGTCCTCAATGATCTTACTCATATTTTTCAAAATTTTAAAAATATTGGTCTTGAACCAAATACAAATAAATGTGAAATATTTATTTCTAATAATTTATCTAATTCTAAAAAGAGATACCTTAATTCAAAATTTCAATCAGATTTCTCCAGGAATAAAAACTGTCAATTCGGAATCGCTTTACCTGCTTGGTGCTCCGTTGTTTTTCGATAGTATTAAACCTGTTTTAAAAACAAAATTTGATCAATTTTTAAATCACGTTGATAAATTATATATTTTAAACCCCCATATTGCCCTTACTATTTTAAAATATTGTGTCCTTGTACCTACATTTACATACTTGTTACGCTCAAGTCCAGTCTGGAAATGTTCGGATATTTTAAAAGATATCGATAATAGTCTTAAAATTGCTTTAGAAAACATTCTAAATTTGAGATTAAATGCAATAGCCTGGAATAAAGCCACTTTACCTATCAAATTTGGTGGAATTGGTATAAGAAATATTTCTAGCGTCGCATTGCCTGCTTTCCTTGCTTCCGTGCATAGTGTTAATGACCTATGTAACACAATTTTAAATATTAAAGTAGACCTATGCTTTGCTGCGGAGGCAAAGCAAATATGGCTAACGCTCTGTCCCGGCGAAAATGTCCCACTGGAAGTTAACCAACAAAAACAGTGGGATATTCCGTTGGTACGGAGTGTCCACAAAAATTTATTTCAAAATTTCCATATTCAACAAGATCAGGCTCGCCTTCTAGCTGTTTCGACTAAGGAATCTAGCCACTGGTTACATGCTCTACCATCAAGTAATCTCGGCACATTGCTTGATGGGGAGAGCTTGCGCATCGCTGTAGGAATCCGGCTGGGAGTGGCTATTTGTCAACCTCACCAGTGCCCCTGTGGTAGCAGCGTCGATGAGTTTGGGCTCCACGGACTTTCATGCCAAAAAAGTGCAGGTAGGTTTTCCCGTCACGGTTCTTTGAACGAAATCATCCGAAGGGCTCTCGTCTCTATAAATATCCCCTCGGTTTTAGAGCCTTGCGGGATATTTAGAGACGATGGCAAGAGACCCGACGGTATGACTTTGGTCCCTTGGGAGAGAGGTAAAGCCCTAGTGTGGGATGCTACTTGCGTTGACACTTTGGCGGCCTCTCATCTCAAGGGTACCTGTTGTAGAGCCGGGGCGGCATCAGAGGCAGCCGAATTTAGTAAATGGCGCAAATATGAGTCTTTGAGAAATGACTACATATTTGTGCCATTTGCTGTAGAGACTATCGGTCCGTGGGGTCCACGTGCAATGAAGTTTCTAAAGGAACTGTATCCACGACTGGTCGTCGCTGCTGGTGATAAGAGGGCTGGTTCTTTCCTCGCTCAAAGGCTAAGTATAGCTATTCAGCGAGGAAACGCAGCCAGCGTTCTTGGCACTATACCATGGGGAGCAGGTCTTTTTGACGATTTAAATTTTTAGTTTTAGATTTTCTATATTATAGTTTCTTCTTTTATATTGTATATATAATTAGTTTTAATTGTAAATATTATAATTTTAATTATTATTTTAGTTAAGTTATTTATTATAATGTTAAATATTATATTTACGTGAAAATAAATCAGTCTTACTATTTTAAACAAAACATAAGCTTTACTAAAAATTCATTTAGCCAACTTTTATTTTCATAAAAAAGTTCTTCCCAAGATAGTTCCCCTGCATCTGCTCTGATTTAGGACTCCCTAAAACAGTGCCATTTGAAGCAGAAGCACCGCGTGTAATAATATGAATCACTATCACTATTACTGCCTATCACAAGTCCTCTGCTGAACCCATTGTGAACCCACTTCGGTATACAGAAATAGATACATTAGTTGACGGCTTAGTGGCGCAGTGGCGTAGCAATGAGTGACTGCGCCGAGGGCCGCGGGTTTGAATCAAGCAAGCAACAAGTATTTGTATGGCCTACAAGTAATTTTTCCGGGACTACGATACAGGAGAAAATCCTGGTATCAAAATACTGGTACGTAACGTTAAAAAAACAATAGACTCTAAATAGGATGCAATTAACGATTTTATAATGAAAACATTATATATTCTAAAGTTTTTGAGAAGATATTAATGTTTTTCTTAAAAACAAAGTATATATATATATATATATATATATATATATATATATATATATATATATATATATATATATATATATATAATTTTTACTATTTTTATGATGAAATAATAAAACTTTGTAATACTTACGTGATCACTTAAAATTTGACCAATAACACATTGATTTAAACTTTCTACAAGTAAAGACACGAAGAAAAAAAAATATCGAACAGACTGGTAAAAGTTATCCACCACCTGTAATATAAGTCGCCATTATTTTAAATAAATTTTAAGGATTTTGTTTGGTTGGTTTGTTTAATGGACATAAAAATATTGTATGCTAATTAAACATTTGAACTAATATCCAGGAAGAAACGTTTGTCTTACCGTAAAAGTATATGCTGTTAAACAAATAAAAACAGCACTAAAAGAGTAGATTAGAAGCATTGCGTCGCCTAAAACGTTGTCAAGTGATGTTGATATACTGAAAAATAAACATAAATAAGTGCTCATTTTTAAAATGCTCGTTTTAAATTTAGTATTTTATTATTAATACATGGTTTGTTAAAATAGATAAATTAGTCCGTTATTCGGACATCCCTTTAAGTAAATATCTGAGGCAGGATGTTCCGCCATCTCGCAAAAAATTTCTTAACAACTTTCAAACATTGAAATAATATCTAAAATAGTCTTATAATAACAAAACTTAAATTTAAATAATAACAAAAACAGTGCTATTTTAACTTTTTGAATATTGCTTATTCAAAATAAGAGAACAATTTTTACCTAGCAAGGAAATGATGTCGTGCAATTATACGTTTTAACTGATGTAAAACCCGTTCATGAATTTTTTTAGATTGCTGTCCACTTTGTAGATTTTTTACGTCTTCCGTGCTTATTATTTCTTCCATACTGTGTCCTAAAATTTTTAACTCCATGCAAATAAATATGATGTATGTCGTTTGCGTCATATTTGAAAACCCATAGACACAAACCACCAGCGCCGTCATACAACTTTCCCATAAATACACACTCCAGTACCATTTAATCTTATCAAATGGGTACCACCCGTCAAAAGGATACAGATATTGTAAATCTTTACCCAACACCTTGTTTTCATACGTCATTACAAGGATCGGAAAAGAGTTGACCACAATTACAACGGGCAAAATGTAATAAAGTATAAGTCTATTAACAATCATACATATAAAACTATACTTCTTTATAACTTTTTGATGCGACTTTGAATTCATTGAAAAAACTTCCCATAAATCATCACGAAAATGACAAAATATTTGATTGTAAATTTCTCTATGTCTATGTATTTTAGCATATTTTATTAAAGATATAGCGCAGACCCCTAAATTTGGAGCAATGTTAATAATTTCAAACCAATCTTTAAAGCCAGTAAGACATAAAGTGAGAAATAACTGAATACTTGTACAAATCAATAAAACGTTAATGATGAAAAAAACGATAAGTTGCTTCTTTCTCCGTCCTATAAAAGGTAAAAGGAAAATTTTAGAGCCCACTGTACAGAGAAACTCTAATTCAATGAAAATAGAACGCCGTATAGCAAAATATTTTCGTTCCATTTTAAAATTTAGAATATAGAATATTAGTAATAAAAATGTAAAATGTCACAGTTTCCTATAATATGAGCGATCACTGAAACAACGAAAAGCTTTTGCAAAGGAAAGGAATGGGTAGGAAAATTTTATATGACGACAAATGTTGGTTAAGCTAGAAAAATATTTTCTTTCTGTGGTTCTACTTAAAAAAAAAAACAGAAATGACGTAAAAGGTCTTTGTTCAAGAAAAATTAGGATATTATTGTTTAGATAATAAACAGTAATTTTTTTTCTGAGGAGAAATTATGGACGATTTTTTTAAGATATTTGATGTCTATTTATAGATGAGTAGAGGACATGTGATATAATACACATTCCTTCACCGTGTATAGCCATTAGAGTATTTAAATGAATGATGTGAACGTTCAAAAAAATTACCTTTAATTTACAAAAGTTAAGATAGATAAGTACAGTTTGGAGATGTTTTATTGTAATTAAACAACTCGTAGTGACAATAAAGGATTCATCATCATCATCATCATTACAACTCAGCAAAAGTCTACTTCTGGATATAGGTGTAATAGCTAATGGATTTCCTTATAGAAGGGATGTTTGGCATAGTCGTCACGCTTGGCAAGTGGTTTGGCAACCGCAGTTTTTCATTATTTTAAGTCATCAGGAAGTTGTTGCTGTCTATCTCCTATAACATTTTCCCCTTTCTCTTCTTACGATATCCACAGGTTGATATTGGATAGTGGATCCTCATACCGCGTTGTTCAACTCATTAATACTCTACTCACTTCGTGGCCTCCCTGTCGAAGCATCAGCAATGCAATCCCGTCAGATTCGCTTAGGAAAGGGAGAATATCCAAAATCTTAGGTTCAATATAGACGAACCAGTCAAGCCCACTCGGATCAGCTTTTTTTATCTCAAACCAGACATTAATTTCCCTTTTTTAATATTTAGCTAAGCCTTAACAATGCTTTTAATCATTTTTTACCACTACGAGAGAGTCGTTAAGTGTAATTTATTTTTCTTTCGTTATGACAATGACAGCGTCAACGTCTTAGTTCAACATTATTTTGTAGTAAGTAACTATGACCGTCACCGTTTGGTGGCGTAAGAGACTCTGTCACACTTCTTTCGTCCTATGGGTTTATATTTGAGCCTCCGACATGCCAGACGTAGAACAGGTCTCAGATAAGTGACAGGCAAATTCTAGCACTACTAATCCTTCGTACTGAGAAAAACACCATAATGGCAATCGGTACTTAAGGGGTGACGATAGAAATTACGGCTTGCAGAAATAACTTCGAACTTCTGCTTAGAACGACGCTGAATTCTTAGGATTGCCTCTTTTGTAGAAGAGAAAGAAGGAGTTAAGTTGAAAAATTTGGCAGCGTTATGCTGCTTGCTTTGATTAATATTCTTGGCAAGCATGGGAGTTTGACTAAGGCGTGGTTTTACCGTGTGTGCATGGTTTTATTGTATGACTGTAATATCACAGTATGTCGGATTAAATAACAGTTTATTTTTAACCAAATAACAAAAAGGAAATATGCGGATCTCTAGTGATAAACAAACAATTGATATGAATTCTGTCAATACCATATTAACATCTATTAAGTAACCTTAGCAAAACTCAGCTTTATAATTACGTTCTAAAGAGTAAATTATTAAAGTGTACCAAAGGCATAAATTGACGAGATTGTAACTTAATATGGACTTAAATAGGCCAAGGAGCTCCATGTTCCTGTGATAGCTTGTAATTTGCTTACATTATTCAAAGTTAAATTGTAAGACCGCCTTACAATGCCGTTTGAGAGCTTTTGATGTATGACTTATATGAGCATTAATCCGATGAAAGCATGTCATCCATTTCAAGCTATTGCAGGCACGGAGGTGGTTTTTATTATAGAATAAGGGTGACAACGAGCACACAGTCACCTGATGGTAAGTGGATGCTGTAGCCCATAGACATCTACGTTTATCATCGATTAAGAATCAAAACGCAGATGCGTTGTCACCCCTGAGGACTAAGATGGAATGCCTCGTTTCCAGTATAAAAGGGTTTCCGGACCTCTACACTCACCATAAAAAACTCAGCAGCATTAGGCTGCTATATGACGCTGGTATTCTGTGAGAGCGATGTCGGTCGAGCCGACCCATTCGTGCTGCAAACATAACATAGCTGCAGCGTGGCTCTACCACGTGGAAATTTTTACGGATTTAGATTTTCTTCAAATTATTTATTTTAATGGGAAGAGGGAAAATTTTATTTTAGATAAATATTTTTTTTTGAAATAAGTTATTGTATTACTGTGTATAGGTACGAATATTTATCTGATATTTTTTTCATCTTATAAAATGTCTGTCTACAGAAACACCCTCTTGCCTATTCTTATTATCAAAAAATTGTACAGACATTGCTGAAGGAGAGCATTAGAATAGAATAGAATATTTTTTATTCAATATAGATTACATGTTATCTATATTGAATAAAAAAATAGAGACCACTAGACCAACTGCCTCGTTGGTCTAGTGGTTGCAGTAGTGCGAATTCTGATCATGAGGACCTGGGTTCGAATCCCGAGTCGGGCCAAAAAATTAATAATTGAGTTTTTCTGTCAAGAAATTCTCAGTAGCTGCCCGGAGTCAGGAAGTTGGCGGTGTCTCACCCCCGTGCCTCGGAAAGCACGTAAAGCTCGGTTTTCCGTCCCATCGGATTACGAGAGTGAGGGAATAGAGAGTGCACCTGTGCTTGCGCATACACTTGGGAACTATAATCCTGTACTGCGCCGATGGCTAGCCTCCGTTGAGGCTAGCCGCCGTGGCTAAAATTCGGTCTGGAGGACATTATTATTATTATTGTGGAATATCTATATAGTTTTCTCATCTGGTTGGGATGTATAAATATATAATTATAAACGAAAATGAAAAGATAAATATACATAAATATCAATAAAATAAAATAGATAAAAAAATAAAAGCCCAACCAGATGGAAGCCCTCGGCAGGGGAGACCAAACGGCCAAGGGTTAGGGGGAAAGGGAAAGAAACCGGCGGACGATGCGGGCAGTATCAAGGAGCACCGCCTTCTGCATTTGAGCCCGGAGCGGTCCGTCACGGAGTCCCAGTCGCCTCAGATGACCAGAGAGGCTAACTGGGATTAGCCCATTCGCAGAGACGACTACAGGAATAATTTCGGCCGGCAGACCACCCCACATATCGGTCACCTCGTGAGCCAGGTCCAGATATTTTGATTGCTTGTCTGTTTCGGCTCTCACGAGGTTCTCGTCATACGGGATGGTAATATCGATCAAAAATATCCTTGACTGTGCCCGGTCCATCAGCACAATATCAGGTTTATTCGCAAGAATAGTCCTGTCTGTGATGATGGCCCGGTCCCAATAGAGCCTGGCGCGGTCATTTTCGAGCATGGCTTCCGGCAAGTACTTGTAATACGGCAATTTCCGATCCACGAGACCGTATTTCAGAGCGAGCTCCTGGTGTAGAATTCTGGCTACTAGGTTGTGCCTGTGCAAGTACTCAGAGTTAGAAAGCGCCGAACAACCGGAGATAACATGCCTAAGTGACTCACCGGGATGGCGACAAGCTCGACAGACGTCGACGGTGCCATCCTTTAGGATGTATCTCCGATAGTTGTTGGTCTTAATAACCTGATCCTGTATTGCACATACAAAACCCTCGGTTACCCCGAAGAGATCACCAAAGCGTAGCCAGTGGAGGGAGGCTACTGTGTCTACGAAAGGCTCATGTAGAGCCTTGTAGAACCTCCCGTGGAGCTCCTTCTCCTTCCATACGGTCTCCCGGTCGGAAATGCTCTGCACTGCCGGGTCTTGCCATTGCTCGTTGGCTAAGGATAGAGGGGTAAGTCCTTTATCACAAGAAATGACGTCCTTATAGAATGGATCATCCGATCTCGCCAGGAAGTAATCACGGAGGCTGCACACTTCGCGATTATGCATGGTGAGCGCGCTCAAGAAGCCACGACCACCATTCTTCCGCGACAAGTACAGCCTCATTACCGACGATCTCGGATGATGCATCCTATGGGACGTCATGGTAGTGCGGACTTTTCTATCCAGGGCGTTAAGCTCAGTCTGAGTCCACCTGAGTATGCCAAAGGTATACATGAGGACAGGCATGACCCAGCAGTTATATGCGTGTGACTTATTCACACCGGACAAAAGGCTGTTAAGCACTTTGGTCAAGCGTGCATAAAACACGTCGCAAACTGACTGTTTCATACCAGCCTCATAGATACCGATGTTCTGTGATATACCCAGGTATCGGTATGTTTCAGCCTCGGAAAGGGTCCTTAAGTTGACGGGCATAGACAAGTCTATGCCCTCAGAGTTAGCAACCCTTCCCCTTTCAAAATGGAGGACCGCACACTTATCCGTCCCCAGCTCCATTCCAATGGAACTGCTAAATTCACAAGTGATGTTTAGCAGTTCCATAAGATGGGAGCGACTAGAGGCGAATAACTTGAGGTCATCCATATAGAAAAGGTGGGTCACTTTTGTCCCTCCTTTCCGTAGCTGAAATCCCCTCCCGGAGCCCTCCAGTAAGGTACTGAGAGGGTTAAGAGAGAGGCAGAACCAGATTGGACTCAGAAAATCGCCCTGGAAGATACTCCTTCTTATCCTTATGTGGTTCTCCGCAGCCGTCATCCGCTCGCCCAGATGACAAAGGATCGTACTCCACTGCCCCATACACTGCTCGAGGAAGTCTCTAACTGTACAGTCAATCTTGTACAGCTCGAGGACCCTCTTTAGCCATGTATGGGGCACCGAGTCGAACGCCTTTCTGTAGTCTATCCAGGCGGCAGAGAAGTTCCGACGGTTGCGTTTCACCACTTTGCCTATGACCGCGTCAATGAGGAGTGGTTCCTTAGTTCCACGACCACCGCCCCGACATCCATTTTGAGCGCGTGATATCACCTGGTTTAGCTCCAGGTGACGAGTGATTCTCGCGCTCAAAATGGATGTCAGTGTCTTATATATGGTCGGTAGACACGTGATGGGGCGGTATTTGCTCGGGTCTGTGGTATCCTGATCTTTAGGAACCAAGTAAGTGATCCCAGTAGTGAAGAGGCTCGGGAGTGACTTCTGGTCGAGAGCCTCTTGAAACTGTCGGGCGAGCACAGCGTGACACACTATGAACCCCTTCAGCCAGTAATGATGCAGCCCGTCGAGCCCCGGACTTTTCCAGCTCGGGGCCCTACGGACCGCCTCAGCTACGTCATCCGGCGTTATGGTGACGGGGTCCATGGGCGTAATACCCGCACACTGACTCGCCACAACTTCCGTCCAAGGGCCCTCACTGTGGTTTACGGGCTCCGACCACAGGCCGCGCCAGAATGCTACAGTGTCGGCCTGATTCGGGGCTGGGCCCGTTCCACTTACCATTGGTCGCTCCAATGATTCATAGAGCCTCTTCTGATCACTCTGGAAGAGACGATTCTGGTTGAACCGTGTCGACCTCTCGGTATATCGCCGAATCCGCTTTCCCCAAGCAGCGATTCTCTGCTTCAGATCATCTATGCGCTCCGTCAGTTTTTGCGTTATATCCGGCTGGGACAAACTGACATTTGTCCCAGCAAACGCCATTATTATTATTATTATTATACGATCTGCATTAACGCTCCTTTTAGGGTTTTAAGATGCGGCATCGGCTGATCGCAAGATGCCGCTCTTTTGTTTAAATTGTGAGGTGGCGACGTACTATCGCTGTCGTATCCAAAATTATGGCTTTTTGAATTTTGTTCCTCACCCTCACTGAAATGCCCAGCTTAGCTAAATTGTCAGTAAGGGATTTAGGAACAACTCCAGTGGTAGAGAGAATCAGCGGGACGATAAGTACCTGCTGCTGTCGCCTTAACAGTCGGATTTCTTCAGCTAACCGCTGGTACTTAATCAACTTTTCAGTGCTGTACTTCTGCACATTATGCGAGTTTGGAATGCCAATACCCAACAACCACGTACGCTTCTCCTCCTTTTCTACTAATATTATGTCCGGTCGATTATGCTCAACGGTCCGGTCTTGGATGTCCGGTCGAGGATGGATTGTATTTCTAGTAGGGTTCTGTCTCCTTAAGGAGACCGTATTTTACTGCCAGCTCTTGGTACACAATTTTTGCCACGTTGTCGTGGCGCTGGGTGTACTCGGTACCAGCAAGAGCCTGGCAGCCACCAGTTATGTGCTGGATGGTCTCTGGCTTTTGATGACACCGTCGGCACTGGTCATCTTCGATCCCTGTCTTGACAATGTACTTTAGATAATTTTTCGTAGGCACAATTTGATCCTGAATCGCCACCATGAATCCCTCAGTTTCAGCAAAAATCTCACCATGTCTGAGCCAGTTGTTCGACGCTTCAATGTCGACATGTGGTTGACTCAGTTCATTAGCGAATCGACCGTGAAGAGGTTTTGAGGCCCGTTGCTGGAGTTTGGCTTCTTTGTATTTAGCGTCAGTCTCTAACGGTGGGAAATTGTCGGCATGAAGGAGATCGAGCGTTGTTAGACGGTCATCAGCCTTTATTACTGCTTGATGCAGGGGAGAGGACGTTTGCAAAAGGAAATAACTTCGAAGACTCTGAATCTGTTTAGCACACAATCTACGAATATCTATCAGTCCTCTACCGCCATTGGCTCGAGACAGAGTTACACTAGTTAGTTAGATATGAGTTAGTAGATATTTAGTAAGCATGACGCGAGTAGACCTCTCAATTTTTGCCAGTTCAGTATCTGACCAGTTAACTACTCCAAACGTGTAACTTAATACTGGGATGGCAAAGGTGTTAATAGCTTTAGTGAGGTTGCGTCCATTTAGGCCCGAACTGAGGATTCTTTTAAGCCTTTGATTTTATACTTCAATCATCTTCGACCTAATTTCACCGTGATTGATTCGAAGTGATTGGGTGATGCCTAGATATTTATAGGTGATTTCTGTCATCGCGTGGATCTTTCCCCCTCTCTGAAGGTCGAAACCTCTAGAAGACTCAATTCGTCTACGGTAAACATTTACGGTTCTGCACTTTTCAAGTCCAAATGACATATTAATGTCACTAGAGAACTGTTCAGTGCAGTGAACCAGCGTTTGGAGCTCTCGTTCATTTGCCGCATAGATCTTAATGTCGTCCATATACATTAGGTGAGTCAACTTTCGGTGATATCCTTGAGCCCCTTTTATAAGATATCCATGTCCTGTTTCATTAAGGAGTGAAGAGAGGGGGTTGAGCGCGAGGCAAAACCACAAGGGGCTAAGGCTGTCTCCTTGAAAGATTCCTCTTCGTATCGGTATGTACCCTGTTGTGATCTTTTGGTTAACGCCATGGTTCAGATGAAGAGAAGTTGCCCAATTTGTCGTAAAATATTCTAATAGAGTGATAACTTCAGGGTCGATCTTATAAAGTTTGAGTACCTCCCTCAACCAGGAATACGGCACGGAGTCGAAAGCTTTCCTGTAATCAATGTAGGCCATGTGAAGCTACTTTTGATATGCTTGCCCTGTGATAACCGAATCTATCGTGAATTGTTCTTTGCATCCCAATGATCTCTTAATGCACCCTTTCTGCTCTGTTGCCAGAAGAGAGTGATGGTCTAGATGTTGGTAGATCTTGTAAGAGAGGCATCCATGTTTGCGGGTTGCTCTACCATTTGTGGCGCCGCATCCTCAGCCGCAGCATTTTCACCCGATGAAGGAACAGCCTCACGTCGTAGCCGTTCGAGTTCGGTGACATCAAATGTATTTGAGCGCACGATATACCGAACTCGGTCTGCCAGGTTTTGCTCGGTGACGGTTACAGATGGCTCCAGCTCAGCAAAAAGTCGATGCATCCTTGCCCGATACGCAAAACCTCCAGTTTCTCCCCCCTTTCGCCCTAAAATACGCCCGCAATGCGTTGCTGTTCATCTGGGTTGTCCAACGCATGCGGCGTACTCCACCAGTGGCGGGTGCCGATTGCTGGGCCCGCGAAGACCCTGCCGACACCAAACCAGCTGGTGGGGATGATGGATGCGAGGGGCTGCTGGGTGGTCGTGCAGCACCTCGCACTCGGCTGGCGGTTCGCATGCTGTCGCGTCCAGCGCCAGCTCCAGACGCGCCCTGGCGACCTCCAGGCAGCGGCCCTTTGCGCGTTCTTCCGTATTCCATCATCCATAGTGGTGGGCGTCATTTAGCGGGAGACGCCCAGACCCGGCGCCGTTTCATGGTGAGGCCATGAGCACAAGCGGGCCTTTGCACCTTCAATTTTTGCCGAGGCACGGCACTAACACCTCTTGGCAAGGTGCTGACTGACTGCGCTGACGTACCGGTTTTGTCACATAACCGTTACGTCAGCGGGCGATGGGGTCGTCACTTCCCTACGCCTTTTTATTATTATTATTACATGTTATTCTTATTGAAAGTCTTTCAGGGTTCCATAGTCAACTAGGAACCCTTATAGTTTCGCCATGTCTGTCTGTCCCTCTGTCCGTCCTCGCTTAATCTCTGTGACCGTTAGCACTAGATAGCTGAAATTTGGTACCAATATGTGTATCAATCACGCCGACAAAGTGGTAAAATAAAAATTGGAAAAAAATGTTTTATTAGGGTAGCCCCCCTATATGTAAAGTGGGAAGTGATTTTTTTTTAATTTCAACCCTAACGTGTGATATATTGTTGGAAAGGTATTTAAAAATGAATAGGGGTTTACTAAAATCATTTTTTATAATGTCAATAATTTCGGAAATAATCGCTCCAAAAGTAAAAAACAATGTGTCCCCCCCCCTCTAATTTTTGAACCATAAGTTTAGAAAATATGAAAAAAATCTGAAATGTAGAACTTTATAAGGACTTTCTAGGAAAATCATTTTGAACTTGGATGGAAACAACAGTACCCACTACCGGGAGCAGTTGCAGGAGCGCGAACATAATGGATACACACCTTTAAACTCAAAAGTGGGAACACTTATTGTGACGGACGGGAAACTACGGAACCCTACACTGAGCGTGGCCCGACACGCTCTTGGCCGGTTTTTTTTACTTTACCACTAGTTCAAAATAAACCTCTGTTCTGGAAAGAACCAGCAAGAAACCCACCGGGGCTTTTTTTTTAATAAATATTACATTGTGAGGGATTATAATATATTTTTTAGAAAATATTTATTTTAGAAACAGCTTGGAAGCAACCATCTCATTCCCAGAGGTTATTATCAACCATGTATTCTTTTATATTATAATAACCCTTTTTTATAGTGTTTTTGTTTAATTAAATATTTAAACTTGGTAATAGGGAGACCTTGTATATTTTCTGGGACTTTATTTTAATAGCATATACATTGCCCTAGGAATGAATAACTGACTCTATGGAGTCGAGAAACTGGTACCACTAGCTTGTGTTTGTTCCTAGTGTTTACAGAGCGTATATTACTTTTGTACTAAAACTACCTACATTTTTGTCAATATACATTAAATTTTCGTAGATATACTGAGAGGCCAAAGTTAATATATTTATTTTTTTGAATTTTTAGGTTATAAAGAGCTCTTATGGTCCTTTTCTGCAAAACAAAAATAGTTTCTAATTCAGCCGCATTTCCCCATAACAAAATCTAATATGACATTATACTATGGAAATAACTGAAGTGACCTAATCTAGCTGTCTTGAAACTAGTGAGATCTCTAATCTTTTTACAGCATAAGCTGCGGAGCTTAGTCTGCTTGCTAGTTTAGATATATGGGGCCTCATTGAAGCTTAGCGTCAAGAGTGATGCCTAGAAAAACAGAGGATTCAATAGGACTCAGTTCTTCCTTATTTAAAAACACATTGATATTTGGATTTTTAATTATTGAAATCAAAAAACATCCTAATTTCCATAGAGAAGATGGCTGGGTGCTTACCATCTGCTTGGTATCATTTAATTAATAAAATTAAATCCCAATCCAAGCATACAACTGCAGGACTTCAAGATACTATAAGTTCATACTGCATAGATCGGAATAAAAATTAATAATTTTAATCTATGGTAACCGCCGTCAACTATGATATCTAGACGTTGAACATCTCACTCTCCTCTGTGACCATGGGTGCTGTAAAGTACTCGAAACGTCAGGTATATAAAAAAGTTAATATACGCGATAAAATCCGTAAAAATTTGTATTATTTACTGTATAGTATTCGCGTAAATATAAAAAATCATTAGATTATTAACGTTAAACTAATGCACTAATTTGGATGTAGCAATATTGACTTCGTCACATTTAAATGACTGACGTTTAAGATTATAAAAATCAAGAAAGTATCATCAGCAAATAATACTTTATAATAATTATCCACTACAAGGGAATGTGTCATTAATATACACTAAAATAGGAACAGGCCAAGAACTGAGCCCTGAGGAACAGCCATCTGTACGGGTCATCAGGAAGACTTTTTACCATTGATAATAACTTTCTGCACTCTATTACTTAAATATAATTTTTTTATAGAATAAGGATGACAAGCGAGCACAAAGTCCACCTGATGGTAAATGGATGCTGTGACCCATAAACATCTACATTTATCCTCGATTAAGAATCAAAACGCAGATGCGTTGTCACCCCTGGGGACTAAGATAGAATTCCTCGTATCCAGTAAAAAGGGTCTTCGGATCTCTACAATACTACACGGATCTATACAATAGCTCTAAATACGCAAAACAGCGGTATTAAACTGCAAATTGAGAATACCAATTCTATGAGAGCGGTCTTGCCCCAGTCAAGCCGACCCACGCGTGCTACAACCATAATATAGCAGTAGCGTGGCTTTACCACGTACGATATATGCCGAAATAACTAGTTTAAGCAGCGCTGTGTTCTTGACACCAAAGTACTGTAGCTTCTTGAGTAATGTCTCATGGTGAACACAGTCGATGGCATTGGAAAGGTCCCAAAAATTTCCCAGAGCGTCCTCTGAATTCTCCCATGCACAAAAAATATGTTATATAAGCTTATCTCCGGCATCGGTTGTCAAGCGACCCCTTGTAAAACCAAATTGACTTGTATGAAGCAATTTATTTATATTCAAAAAAACTTATCATCTGATGTAAAATAATTTTTTCAAATATTTTACTTAAAGTTGGTAGTACAGAAATTGGTCTAAAGTTGGCGGGGTCTGATGTACTATTAGATTTGAATAAAGGTATAACTTTACTATGTCATCATATTTTATATTATTAAATCAGGAAACGCACCAGATTGGACGCTTGTATTAAAAATAGTGGCTAGATAAGGTGCTATTTTATCTATGACAGATGCAATAACTTTAATTGGAAATTCTGGTTTTAATGGTTGATCTGAACTTAAAATTTTGAATGATGGATTTATGCAACATCTGCAAAAATGTTATCTATACAGGTTGCACTAGTCCCAGCAAAACGAGTCAGTTCCAAAAATACATTAACAAGATCATACGATTTAAATAGTTTAGTTCATTAACTTAAAACCAGAAGTTTCAAGGAGATTGATGTTAAAGTCCAAATATTACAACAGTCTTGTTCTGTTTACTAAGTTTTAGCAAAACTTCTTCCATATTTATTTCAAAATAGTCGTAAATAGCACACGGGTCTGTAAATACTTACAACAATAAAGTGCATTTTTTATATATTTCTATAGTCCCCTCAACAGAGAGGCCCAAATTATCCTAACGTTATTTATATAGTAATGATTCGTCTGCTAATATTAAGAAGCCATCACGTGAACTATTTTCTCTATTGAAGGAACTGATCATCTGGTGATTTCTGAAATTAAACATTAAATTATAATATTTTAGCCAATGTTCGGTAATACAAAGGATACGTATGTTGTTACTATTTAAAAACAATTCAACTTCTAATCCCTTGCCCATTATGCCTTGTATAGTTTAATGTACCATGTGTAAATAGTTAGTTTGTACCAGTTCGGGCTCACTGGTACAAAACAGCCCTCATCAGCTGACAGTGGAACGACGCATCCTAAAAAAAGGAAGGAAAGGTTTTGGAATGCTCTGATCACGAATCTACAATCTTTTTTTAGCGTAGGATGCGCGGTCCCAGAGATGTGCAGATCAATTGACGACTCCGTGGCGTAGTGGCTTAGCAATGAGTGGCTGCGCTGGGGGTCGCGGGTTCGAATCCCGCACGGAACAAGTATTTGTATGGCCTACAAATAATCGTTCCGGGTCTGGATGTTTGTCCTTGTGCAATTTATGTTTTAAACACCAGATACGGAGAAAATCTAGTGTAGGAGTTTTTTAAAAAAAAAAAGCGCTGACACCTTTACTTCGCCCCTTGCACTTTAATCCATTGGGCTATGTCGGTCACCTTGATTAATTGATCTCCGAGGGGTTTCCCTCTCTCGGAAATGACCGGGAAGGCCAGTGCCCAGGAGTTGTTGGGAGCACTATGCTCGAAGTTGTTGACGAGTACGTTTGCCTGGGACAAATAGTCCGACTAGGTAAGTCCAACTTCGACCGAGAGGTCAATCGACGTATTCAACTTGGCTGGGCAGTGTTCGGGAAATTACGACACATCTTCTCGTCAGGTATACCTCAATTTCTGAAAACTAAAGTGTACAACCAGTGCGTGTTGCCAGTGATGACTTACGGATTGAGACGTGGTCCGTCACTGCCGGCCGTATGAGGATGCTCAAGGTGGCTCAGCGAGCTATGGAGAGGGCTATGCTCAGAGTTTCTCTGCGTGATAGACTCAGAAATGAGGATATCCGCAGTAAAACCAGAGTGATCGACATAGCCCAACGGATTAGTAAGCTGAAGTGGCAATGGGCCGGCCATATAGCTCGAAGAACCGATAACCAACGGGGAAGAAAGGTTCTCGAGTGGCAG